AGAAGATCAAAAGAAACATGAAGATGGAAAGCCTGTTCCACCTGAGGCTGTAGGATCTATGCCCACTCTTGATGGAGAAAAGACTCAAGTAGACAAAACAGATTTGACCAAACCACTCACTGAACCAAGTATTCTCCCTTTTCCTGAAGAATTTTCTCTATCAGACTCATGCCCAGGAGAAGTAAAAGAGGAAAATTTCATCCTCCAGCCTTTATTGCCTAAAAAGTCAAAAGTTTAGCCAGCATCCAATCACCTCAACTACCTGCAACAAAATAATGGCCACAATGGCCATTACAATGCCTATTACAATCTTCATCTTTAGAGTTCTCAGTTTTAAGAAAGGACAATAACAGAGTAGAAAAATAAATTTAATTGGGTAATTTTCCAACAAAAGAATGTGGCTGTTAATTCTCAGATTACTGCCATCAGTAAGAGCATGAAGGAAAGGCAACTGTGGAGGGTAAAAGAACTTGCAAGGCTGAGACAGCCCAAAGGCATCAGAAAAAAATATCCCCAGTAGCAAAAGGACAGAGTACAAGATGGCTGGTACTGGCAAGACCTATGGACCCATGGAGAGAGGAGCCCAGGCTAGAGAAGGTTTTTCTGGCAGGACATGTGACCCCCTAGGGTACCCATGCTGGAGCTGCCTGCTCCTGAAAGGCTGCACCCTGTGGACACGACTAACGCTGGAGCAGCTGATGAAGAACTGCAGCCCATGGGAAGGACTCAGGCTGGAGAAGCTTGTGGAGAACTCTCTCATGTGGGAGGGAACCCATGCTGTGTGATGAACTGTCCAAAAGTCCCCATTCCCCATCTCACTGTGCTGCTGGAGGGGAAAGAGATGGAGAAACCAGGAGTGAAGTAATTTGAGCCCAGGAAGAATGGAAGAGTGAGGGGAAGGTGTTTCAAGATTTTTTATTTCTCATTATTTTACTCTGATTTGATTGGTAATAAATTACATTAATTTTTTTTCCAAGTCTTTCCTGGTCCTTATCTCAACCCATGAGTCTTTCATTGTATTTTCTCTTCCCTGTGCAGCTGACAAGGGAAGTGATGGAGCAGCTCTGGTGGGCAACTGGTGCCCAGACAGGACCAACCCAGTCCAGATGCTCTCAGGGCCTTGCAGAGTCACACCTGGTGTAGTGCTGTATAAATGGGGAAGAGAACTTCAATACTGCCCAGCAGTAAAAGCTAGTGGGTTTTTATTATTTTACAGCTTAACTTCTTAATTATAATGTGATGAGTTTGGCCTAATTTTTTATTTCACACTATGGAAGATCTCAAAAAAATTATTTTTTTCCTAATGCTTTATACCCTCACTTAAAGAAAGTGGAAAAAGCTGCTCATGTGTGAAATGTCTGCACATCATTCTGGCTGGTGGAGAATTAGGCCCAGGCTATTCAGGTTCTTATGCTTTACCCACATTGCTGTGCAGGAAAAATTATGATTTACAAAATCAGCCTAATTCTTTCTTGAGATAGGTCATATTAACTCCCTTATAATAAAAACCACAGGGACACTCTACACCCTATAAATAAGAAAAATCAATTTCACTAATACCAGACCTATCAACTGTACAGAAAATAACAAATATAAATAAATGAGAAGACAAAAAGAAGAAAAGGACTGAACATGGGAAAGAAATGTCATTTGTGGCCAGGAGTACACTGATATTTGCAGTAATTATGGGGCTTGTATGAGACCAGAGAGCCTTTTTCTAGCTGCCACTAGAACTGTAAAATCATTCGTTCAAAACAAAATCAATAAAATATTATTGTTTCTGAAGCTTTTATGCTACTGAATCATCCCTAGAGATGCTGGATAATTTCTCCATTCAAAGAACTTTCAATAAAAATTATGGGTTTGTTGAAGTATTCTGGCATTACACAATTGATTAAAATGTAGTATTTTATTATTATAAATAAAATATAAATATTTTATATTTATATAATATTTATTTATAATAAGTGTTATTTTGTTCTGACTGGACAGAAAATAAAATTGAAATGTGGAGTTATGTTCACAACAAATATGTTTGTTTCCTCAGCTTACAAAACTCTTAAAAACATACACTTTATATAATACAACATTTTATACAAACAAGTAGTTTAATTGCTCCAAATACCAAAATAAGGCAGAGTGATGTGTGAAAAACACCAACTGAATAAAAAATTCCCTTTCATTTCCATATTAGGAGAAATTTCAGCATATTTTAGCATAAGTCATTTCAGACAATTTTAAATCAGATTGTTCTCAAAAAATCAAATTCTATCCAATTCTTATCACAGAACGAGCTTTAGGCTGTGCAGCATTCTCCTTTTCATCAAGTAAATTTACAACAGCAAATTGAACAGCAGCAGCATCAGTGAAAATAAATGGAGTGGAGTGGGTGTGAATGTAAACAGAGGTAGTTAAAGAGAACACCTGAAAGTCTGGATCCACAGGTTTTTTTGAGAATTCAGTTTGCATATTATTTAGCTTGTTCTGCAGACAAGGGTCATAAATGACATTGGAATAAATACTTCATCTATCTTGGATCTGAGATTTGGGTTCAAAGTCTTCTATGATTTAAAAACAAACACCAGAAAGGATGTTTATCTAAGTGGTAACTGTATCTACTTGCTGCAGATCAGCAAGCATCAGTGATCAGTGCAGGTTCATGAGCATTTCCCTTATTTGCTGCAGCTGCTCCAGAACAAAGAGTCCTGTACCCACCTCTCAGTGTCACCCAGGCCACCACCAATATTCACCATAATTGGGGCCTGGTACCAATGTCCATGTCTAAATTCTTGAGGTACCAAAGATGTATGGTTTCTGTGCTTCCTTTATCCTCAGGACACAGCTGGATACTGCAGCAATCCCAGCTGGCAGTGATATGATTAGAAGCTGATGGGGCTTATTCATCAGTACTTCATACCCTGCTGCTGATTCAGCAGATTGACACCAGTCTGTGAGTGGACCAGCCCTGTCCCTGTCTCCCTACAACGTGCCCACACAGACAGGTACAGACACAGGATGTAACACATGAGGTCTCTTCACATATACTCATGTCACAGCAAGATCAGACAGAAGTGCAGAAAATCTCTACCTTCTGGCCTGGTCTCTCACCCTCCAGCCAAACAGCAAAACAGCTGGCACTGTTCTGAAGGTACACAATCACACCCCAAGTGCTCTTTTCTTCCCCCAGGACTGTGAACTGCTAAGTGCTGCTTCTCCTTGTCCAGCAGGTAACAGGCCAGTAACACACAAGCTCTCTATCCAGTCACTGGAGATGAGAAGTGAGTGGATGTTGGCAGACAAGTCCCAATTCACTTTTCAATTTCATTTCACAGTTTTTCAACAATTATTGATCTTATGATATTATATCATCCATTATTAACTTGCTATCTGGGCAATGTCCAGCTAAAGTCTGGTCTGATGTTTATTTGAGTGAACACTCCAGTTTCACATGGCAATATTTTTTATTAAGGCACAGGTAACTAATGGCCAGTGACCTCAGAATTTTTATTTCAAAGGTATATTTTGAAGACCATCCACTAAACAGATTAACAAATACTATTTAATCACAGAAGTTGCCAATATTTCCCTTATGTTAACCTACTACTTGTAAGCATGAGTTAAAGTTTACATTTAAAAAACTAGCCCTAAAATATCCTCTGACCCTGTTCTTAGCATGAAATTCTTAACCTCACCTTTTCCCCAGCCTCTCAAGCCCCTCAGCAAACATGTCTTGCAACATACCCTTAAGGTCATCATCTCACAGCTAGGGTGTTTTTTTTCTAGAAAAGAATTTGCAGTCATCAACACCAAGGACAAGACAGGGAATTCTGACACCCTTTTTACTGGTTCTTGAGGCCTCCTAAGCAATGAGACTTCTGTAACTACATTGTCAACCTGCTCACTTGACAGTTGTTTTCCTCCAAGTAGCTTTTTAACTTAAGGTCTGTTTGAACTAAGTTTGACAGACAAGGTGATGAAGCTTCTAAAAGTTTGATATAAAAATGATAACTGGTAAAGAAAAATCAGTGCAGGCAGGGAGGGGAAACTAGAGCTACAGCTGCTGCTTTGAAGACCATAATGGAAGCAAATTTGTGTAAGGCTGTGTTTGCATCCAGGGGCACCCTGTTTACACCCAGCAGATAAAAATAGGACACAAATGAAGACATGACACATCTGCATATTTTTCCTTCATAGCCTGGGGCATTTCTGTTAAATGTGATTTTTTAAAAAAATCTAAACATAAATTTAGGCCACCCTGACCTGAAGCTATGATGCGTCACAGACTGAAAAAAAGAGTAAAGAGAAGCTAGCCAAGAATTCTTCTATAAGCAACTGGAGCCATGTGTCTTTGTTAGCTGTACTCTTGCTTAGGAGCAGAAAGAGCAGCCACAGAGCAGCACAGGCTACAAAGATGGATCAGGTCTTGCTACCTCCGTAACTGGCTGAGTTGTGTGATTTGATAACCCCAGCTTGTGAAAGAAGCATGACTGCAGAAGGTAGGGAACTGTCAGTTGGTAAGGCAGCTGTCCTCCCGAGAAAGCAGAGATATCTGTAAATAGTCATGGTTATACTTCATGAAAGGAGAAACTGGTTATTGAATATTATCTCCTTCATCTTTCAGCTCTCTTTTTCTTTACCCCTTTGAATAAAGTTCTATTTATTAAGCATTGATATCCTGTTCTTCAAGATAAGCCACTTCTTGGTGTGTTCTCCCAGATTTCTGGAGGGAGGTTTACTATGAATGTTTATTACTAACTCCTTAAAGTCTGAGTGTGGGTCACCTCTTACTGTCGCAAGTCAAGCCTTTGTAGAAGTCATAGAGATAAACAAGCTTTTGATAAGCTAGTCAAGAGAAATGCCATGTTTGGATAAACATAGCTATTCCTGCCAGCAATCTGTTTATAGAAATACCTGCACTAAAAAAATACAACGTGTAAGCAATAAATATAAAAACTAAATAAGTATTTTAAAAGATATCAAATTGGATGAGAAATTACAAAAATGCATCATAATGGCTCACGTACAACCAATAATTAACTGCTCTGACTGTGCCTGCAGTGCTTGTCCATGTTGTACTTTAATAATAGAGCCCAATCTTTTTTTTTTTTTTTTTCCCAAAGAAATCAAGAACAAAACCTTTTACAGCAGGAACAGAACCTTACTTTTACTTCTGCAGTCAATTTTTGCAGGACTTGTAAATTTTCTACTCTTTATTCATAGTGTTTCTGTTTCCTACATAAAAAAACCCATAAGCAGCTGTAAAGAAAATGACCGGTGTCACAATGAACAGTACAGAACAAAAGAAGAAAAAAAAGAACAAATAATCTGCAAACAATAGATGACTAAGGGAAATATGCTATGAATTACCTAATCTGATGCCTTTCTCAATATGACTGCCCATTTGAAAATTAAACAGCACTGTAAGTAAGGAATGGGGGAGCAAATTGGAGCATAGCAATGATGTGAATATTATTTTTTACTGATGAGATATATTTCAAATGCCTCTGATTATTTACACAGCATTTATTTCACAGTTGTTGTTTTTTTCATCTTCCAGCAGAGATTCCAAATTAGTATAATGAAATGTTATCGCAACATAAACAAATGAAACGCCCTACTGCATCAGAACAGTAGTTCACTCAGCCCAGCATTCATCTCTCACAGTGGGAAAAAGACAACTATGGTTAGGAGAAACATATGCCCTCTTTCTGCAAACCATTTCCCTTGTACTTTTCCAGCACCCAGGATTGTGGTACTGGGGATTTAAAAGTACTTACCAGATTTGTCCTTCTAGCAGCCACTCAAGGACATGCTGTCCATGACTTTTCTGTGCCATTTCTGACTGCTGATACTGTCTGTATCTTTCTGTAGTAACAAGTTCCAAGAATTTACTACCCACTGTGTAAGGACTGTTTTTATAAATTTTAAACTGATACACACTAGTTTTGAGTGCTCCAATTCTCATATTGTAAGATTTAGCTTATCTACTAGCGGAGAACTGTTGTGTCCTGAACTAACTATAAAAGAAAGCCTTCTGCTCTGTGCATTTTAAAATGTGATTTCTTAGACACCAGACATGCTGAAAGTTTATTTTTTAAAATAAGGATTAATGAAATGAAGAAAGAGTCAAGGATGACTACCTACTATACTTCCCAATGTTTCTCATAAAAATAAGTCAAAGAAAACCTTTGAAGTCAATTATATAGCTAGCAGCTTTTTCTATGAGAAGCTGATTAAACCCTTCACAACAACCAGAATTTGGAAGATTTCTCATATGAATCTGACCTCATAATTTTGGACTGACATTGACTTTTTGTATTTTCTTATTCAAAGTTTGAACTTTTTATTCAAACTTCAGCCACTCCCTGACAAGCAATTACGACCTTTTAAGAATGCCTTAAACTATCCTGAATAAAAGATTTTGAATACAATGAGACAACATCTTCTTTCTACTTAGAAAAGGATATCGGCATATCCTGTGAAAGGTATGAATCTTAGTATGTACTGAATTATTTTCATAAATACCAAAAAGTTTTCAGCAATTCTCTACAGAAGTCTATAAAGGCTACTACACAGCCAAAGAGTACACAGAAGTTCTCAGATTGAGAATGCAAAGGCAGCTTTGCATCACCTCATGGCATGCCTAGATGACACTGGCATTAAGGCAGTCAGTCCCCTTCTGTGTACCAGTCTGGAATGATGTAAAGCTGATAGAAGCCTGCTCTAAATTTCCTCAAACTGGAAGAGTAGCAGGTACTCACATAGAAGCTACGGATCACCAGCTTGCAAGTGCACCTCAAGCTACATCCCTTTTCCAAGTCTGAGTGACTTCCTTGTTTCCCTTGCACTAGTTCTCTGCTAGGAAAGGATCTGTAAAATCAGTGATACGGATGTAGCCATCATTTGGCCACAAATATTTCAGCATACTTTTAGTTCAACTGTTTTTACAGTAAATAGAAAACCAAGATTGCATAATACCTGCATATATAAACTAGACCTTCTTAATGCAAGGCTCAGCAGCACGCTGTTAGAAGCTAAGTATTTTTCATAGTAAAATGCTATTGCAAAATGTCTGCTTAAAGAATCACAAACATGGTCCCTTTGAAGGGCAGTCCAGAGAGTATTATAAGGCCTGCTTTTCTCAAAATCTGCTCAATCACTATATAATCATTTACTTGCTGTTTGCAAATGTTAATCTAGGGTCAAGGTAATGGCCATGTGACACAACACTTAAATTTATATAAAACCATGTCCTATTAGCATTTATGTATAACTTTGGTGGGCTACTCTGCTTTAAAAGCAGATTACTGGCTTTATCAGAGCATGGGCAGTACTCACCTAACACTGCGAACAAAATGCTGCTTCTAGCTTTAGCTTTTTTTCTAACACTACTGCAGTGCTCTGATGTCCAAAATAAAATAAGCACTACAAGTGCAGACTGTGATACTGTTGAAACAGATACAGGTGTGACCCTGGATTTGGTCAACAGACATAGCAGAGATGGCTTTGGTTTTGGTTTGTTCCGTGTTGCTGATGCACATAAACGACACATAGTAAGTATCAATTCAAAGGCTGACTTAAAACAAGACTGAGATTTTAAAATAAGGAGCCAGATCATTAAAAGCTTATGTTTATTGCTTTTAACACAGCTATGTTGATGTAATTCAATGAATCAGCTCTAATTTACACTATCTCTCTATTCATTTGTGCATGATTTATTGTACGTAAGCTTGGTGTTGAATGATGCTGAGCATGCTCTTTCTCTTGGCTGACAGGATGTCAGCATAAGGGATGCTCTGAACAGCTTTCTGCAACACTGGAATTTAAATTTGTCCTGTCTGTTGTCAGGTCTCAAACGTTACATTTAAAATTTATATTCAGGGGGTTTCTTTAATCTGCAAATGTCTAACATGAACTAGATCAATTTATCATGCAAGATCGGTATTTTGTTATTATCTTAATTTTGGAAATAGCTGGATAACTGAAAGGAAGATAAAAAGGCACAGAAAGCCAAAGAAGATGAAAACACCACTCTGCAAAAGAGGGGAAGGGCTGGATAAAGAATTCATATCAGTCATTTCCTATTTCCTTCCTATTTCTACTTCTGTTTCCTAGAGAATATACATAAGCCTTTTTCAAAGATTGCCTAAATGCCAAAGCAAATCAATAGCAGAAGAAGCAGTAGAATATAAAATTGCTTTAACTAGAAGATAAAAGAGACTAAGGACATGCAGATTCACTAGCACACCTGGCCACATTTTAGCTGAATGGTTATGCAACTAGAATCCAGGCACATGTGCACTGTTTAAGAAGTGTTTTACACATCTCAGTATGGCAACTGAAAAAACAGGCTAATTTTTGATAGAGCTGCTTAAGGATGCCTGTTTGGTCAAGAAAAGGTTTAGAAAGTGACCCAAAGCCCAGATTCCTACAGGACTTCAGTTATACTTCCAAAAAACCCAATGGATTATTTTGATTTTCAAAGTCAAGGATGTGGCAAATAATACTATTGGGTTTTATGCAATTGCCTGGTAGTTAAAGAGCTCATCTAGGAAACAATCAGTCTTTTTCAGCATTAAGAGATTTAAGCCCTCATGTCTCCTACCCTTGAAGACTGCTGCTGCCATGCAGCTGTGTGTGCCACCCCTGTGAAGTGGAGCCACTGGGTAGTAAGACATGCAAAATTCGTTGGATTAATCAGAAAAACTATCTTTGTTTCTAAAAAGAAAACTCTGTAACTTGGAATGGAGACCAGACTTGAGAATTCACACTTTCAGATGAATGCTGTAACCACTTGACTTCCATGCTCCTGTTTTGCTTTATACTCTTAGTGAGTTTTGCTGTCTTTGCAGTGCTGGGCCACAGTTTCAGCTGTCACACAGAGGCTATAAGAACTTACTGTTAAAGAACTGTCCCTGTGAACTCTCTGTATCTTCTCAGACCCAAAGCCACCAGGTGTGGTCTACTGCATACTGATCATGTACACTACTGTGGAAGAAGTTACATTGTATCGACTGCCAAGATGACATTAAAAAAAAAAACAAAAAACAAAAATTAATTATATATATATATATTTTTATATATATATACACATATATATATAAGATCAGAACCTTATTTTTATTGTCTCCATGCGATAGTGTGAAACAAGTCTATCACATCAACCCTCTTAGAAACTTAAGCAGAGAAATTCCTAGCAAAAAAATCTCTAATGGGTTTATTATGGGAGTCCTACAAGTGTAGGATACTCAAGCATTCATCCTTGAACAGTTCTGTCTTGTGCAGTACAGAACTCTGGTGCCCAAGATGCTATTAAAACAACCAAGAAGGCACCATAAATTTTTTATTTTTTTTTTCAAGAGTTATCCAGCAGATGAACAGAGGAATTTTTCCTGCTGCATATTTGGATGTATACACTCAATTTCCCCCAAAGCTCTGCTTTCAGCTTTACTGCATCCAAATGCATCCTGCTTTTTGCTTCTTTAGCATTTCACAAGCGAATGTATTTAGTTATTTCAGTTTTACAGGGCCCCCAGTGAATAACCCATTTTACAAGTACAATTACTTATCTTACCTTTCCATTCAGTGCTATTCCATATATACAGATCAGGAAAAAAAATTGTCTTTCTCCCTGTCTCCGTTCTCTGCCTGCATTTTACTAATATGTTGACTAGCAGCTAGAAATCACTGGGAGTTATACAAAAAAATAGAAATACTAGGTACACCTAAGCAGAGGACAATCGTGTCACTAAGTGGGCAGGAAGGGTGTCCAGAACAACTATATTCTTTTCCTGATTCTGCTATTGAATGACACATGTCTTTGCATAAACTCTCACCCTCTATTTTAGAAAGAGAGACAATGCTAAGACACACACTTACTGCAAAACCAGTGTTTAACACGACACTGCTGGACTCTCACTGATAAAAATATTACACTAGACTGCAGTAATGCTTTCCCAAGGTCTTGTCTATTCAGAATTACTCTGAAAAAAGAATGTTAATGGATGAAATTTTGTGAAACCTGAGGACACTTACCCACAGTGAAGGGCTTTGCATCATTTTATCTAAATGACAAAATAAAATGTCTGTGTTCATTCTGAATGTCCATACAATGGTTGCATGAAATTTAAATAATCCGTTTCAAATGTGAACTGAGATTCATTTTCCTGAAGAAAAATACAAAACTGTTTCTGTGGGCCACAGATAATTTTTAACACCACGTCGCATTACACTGGCAGTCAAATTCAAATTCTGATTCTCTATCCTGTTTTCTCAGGAGAAGGAGCAGGCTAGAAGAATTTCAGGTCAAAGGCTCCTGGCTTTTTAGTGATTATTACAGCTTTTTTTTGCATCACTCCCTGAAGAAGCTGAACAGGAAGCAAAGTTCTGAAAGAGCACCTGGTCACTGAGGTACTTTGAAATGGATATAGTCATATATTTGGCTGCCCAGAGAACTGACTTCCTAATAGACCAATGTGTTACATGTGAAAATAAGAAAGAAAGGCAACTTTTTAACAATGGCATTTTCCCCACTTGATGGATGCCAGGCTAAGAACAGACTCTTCTCACAGGTTTTCCACAAAAAGGATAAGAGGCGACAGTTTTAAGTTGCAGGAAGCAAAATTCTGACCAGATGTAAGGTCAAAAAATACTAATGGAGAAAGTGGTTAAATACTGGAATGGCCCTGAGAGGTTGTGGAACATCTGTCTTGGTGATATATAGAACTCAGCTGAATCTAACCTTGAAGTTAGCATTGACTTGGGCAAGTAGCTGCACAAGATGACCTCCAAAGGCCCATTCCAGCCTAAACCCTTTCTACACTTGTCAGCTCAGAAAACCCTTAATAGGAAACTGGGGAAGATATATTAAAGACTGAACAGATCTACTTCAAAAAAAAGGTTTATTTCAGACCAAACTTCTGGTATACAAACCCTTTCTACCTGCACTTCTCTTCCAGTGAAATTCATCACTCCTCTACTGGATGTGCTAGAAACTGAATGCTCTGTGTTATCCAGAAGACACTGGGAGTCTTGTGAATATAGGAACATCTATTCCATGGCAAGTAGTGGCTAAAGGTTTGGAAAGGATTGACTCCTCAAATAAGTACAGCTTTATTTAATCAGTTGTCCCAAAAGAGCTATACTCTGTATTGCACTGTTAGTAGCAGTACTGATCTTTTAAGAATAATTGGCTGACAAATAAAGGACACTAGAAATGGGGTTTTTTTTAAAGCCTTTTCCTAGTATATTAGCCAGAAATACCAGTGTTCTATTTTGTCATTTTTCCATCATATTGTTTGTGGTATGACTAGAATATTGGTAGTGACAGTACACATGATATGTAGCAATACTTGACCTTTATTGTGCAGGCCAGTGATGCAGCCTGGGATGAGAACTATGACTTTATTTAAATAGGAGAGTGGTGACACTGCCACCACACAGGACAAAGCAGGAAGGTCACAAGAAGATAAGACTTTTGCTCTTTTCATTAATATAGGGAAAAGGCATGGAAGAAAAGGTCCATTCACTTTTTGATAAAGATGTATGTAACCTTGAGTATCTCTAGTATCCTAACTTCCCCTGCTAGCTAGTATCATCTTAGTGTAAATAAATATTAGACTGTCTGAGAAGGCTGGTTTAGTTTTCCACTGTCTATTCAGTTGTGCAAACTGAGAATTAAAATAAAGGCTCTTGTAGAGCAAGATCTCATTTTATCTGAATGCGAATTTTGAGTAGTACCAGATAAAACATTCCACTAATGACCACATCTGCTGTTCTTAGAAGTACTGAACATGAAAAGGAGGCATAATTTCTATGATCACCTACATCAAATTAAATCCAGTGAAAATAACATCATAATCACATATTTACTTTTCCTCTCAGGACTCTGGGCAATGTAAGATTATCACAAATAGAAGCCAGCTGCCAAAGAAACCTCAGCTATATGGATTTAACTGTACATTAAGTCCAGGTAAAAAAACTCTGTTGTAAGCCAATGCATACCTGAAACCAGCCCTAATACAAAACTCCAAGTCTGTGCACTACTAGTGTATGGTAACTGTAACAGATTCATTCATCTGCTTGCAATACGTATTTTAGATAATTCAAATGGAATGTTAAGAATGAGTAATAGAATTAGGGTTACCCTATCCTTCTCTAGCAGACTTTATTAATGTCAGATGATATCACCATTCCAGTTCACTAAAATATGATAATTAATATCAGAAAAAAGTGAACTTGGAAAGAATGCCCAGGTAGGGTGCTAAGATTCTGAGATGGAGGTGAAAGGTTTATAAGAGCACTTATTTTCACAGGTTTATTGTGTTTTATTTTCCCATGTTACGGAACAAACCCTTATTTGTGGAGTGAGGGATAAGTATTTCACTTCCAAGGAAATGCTTGCATTTCAGTTTCTCATTATGAGTTCACATTAAAGGCACATGCACACTCCCAACAGTATTAATATCCCTTGCAATATTAGTAAATTCTCTGTTTTCGCTGTTCCTCCTGATTTATTGGAGTGCAAAGATTGTCCTGTGAAAGTTGAAGTCACTGAGTATTACAAAAATATTGCTGCAAAGGCTCTAGAGAAATTCAACAATGAGAGTAACCACATAAACTACTTCAATGTGAATAAAGTTGAAAAGATTTTAAAGATGGTAAGTGGTTACTTTGTCCTAGAATGTCTTTCAAACAATAAAATTTTGTGAGCAGCTCCAAAATCATGGGACCAGAACTAAAACTCTTCTAGGATCAGAACTATTGCTTTCTGATCTTTCAGAGTAAATAATCTGCTTGAAATTGATGGTCCTAGTTCTGCAAAGATTTGTTATCAACATCAATTTAGGCTTGAGAAAGCAAAAGCATTTCCCCTCTGCTAAAAACTATGGCAATGTGATGGCATCCAAAATATCAGAGCTTTCTTTGTGTGCATGTTTTTATTTTTAATGCCTGCTTACCTATCATATAAGAGTTTAGTTACTACTGACCACAGTTCTTCAAGATGTACAGTCATGTGTATTATCAGTCATGCAGTCTGTCAACTGTCAGAAATTTTTTTACTCTTAGAATATTTAACACATGGATACAACACAAAGTGGAATGTGCTCAGCATAATTTTGACACTGCCTCAGAGCAAAACAGCACTGAGTGCTCTGAAGGACAGGAGGTAAAGTTGAAGCACTACTGGCTCTGGTAAATAACTCCTCCATCTTTGAGCGATGTCAGCAAGATTTATCCTTTGGGTGATTTGAAGTATAACTCTTATATCAGTACAATTTCTTGTTGGTAGACTCTGGAGACCTTCACTTAGCACAGGATCATTCTGCCAACATACGTGCCAGTACAGGACTCCTCTGTAATAAAGTCCCACAGCCCCTACCATAATACACGTTGATCTTGGAAATTGCCTAAATTAGAGCATGGCAACACCACCTGCTTGCAGCTTTTAATACTGTTTAAAAACCTGACAATGTTCTACACTGCAGTTCTGTGTAGGATGTTTCTTTACTCCCATTTAGCAAGTGACTGTTTTCAGATTGCCTGGAGTAATGCAGTAATAGTCCCTAACTGCTTTGACTTCACACTTCTCTGTCTTCAGCTACAGTGACAATTTAGATTCTATCACCAGGTTTCAACAGACTGCATAACTACGAGTTACAGTAAAAATATATCATAAACTACATGCATCTACTTTTAACCAATTTAGTTAAACCAGTGAAACTTGTGTGCACACTCATCCTATGGACACGGTCAAGGCAATCTCGAAATAAACTATTACAGCTGGAAATTAATGAAACACCTCTTTATGGATTTTAATAGGATCACAAAGGCCTTTTCCCATGTTCTTGTAGAATAATGCTTTCTCTATTAATAATGCCACTGACAACAGAGGAAGTAACAATCTCACAGTAACTGGCAGAATTTCATCCCAAATTAACATCAACACTGTAACACTATACACATCCATCACTGGAAAGGGGCGGTTGCCATCTTGTAGATCTTGTAAAACAACAGGTTTTATAACACACATATACTAGACAAAGAAATAAAGCAACCATTCCTGAAACTTATAAGGGTGTGAGGCAAGTAAGGTATAAATTATGTTATCTACTTTTCTTACAGAAGATATATATATATATACACACACACGCATGAATGAACATTTGAACAGCATAGGAAATGAAAGCATGAGGGGGACAGGATTTTGACAACAATATGAACTAAGGTTGCTTTTTAAATTACAGGACTTTAAATACAGCTAGTTTATACTTCTTGTTTGACCTCTTGGTTTCAGACTGCCTCTCATGAAGGTCACATTTTAGAATTCTCTATAAAAGAAACCAACTGTTCCAAATCCACACAACAAGCAGATCAGGCATTGGAATGTGAATTTCTGGATGACTCTCACACTGTAAGTAAAGTCTTAAAATGAGAACTGACACAATGGGTGGCACCAGGAAGACCTTCCCACAATATTTCCAAATGCTTCTTGTAAGCATGTACCCAAACTCAAAATTAAAAATGGAGCATATCCAAGTCCAGATCCTAATTTCACAGCTGCTCCTTTTTATTCTATATGGAGTCAATTTGAACTCTCAAATTGTAAGTGGAGTCTGGCATGTTATCTAGGGCTTAGCTCTTCAGTTTGGATCTGGCTTTCACATTCAAACTGTGTCCATTCCCTAATAAATCATTCATACAATTTTCATAAAATCTTTTACACTAACATGAGTCATAGATCTTGAAAAATATACATGTTTTATGTAATCTCAGTGAGCCTAGGATTACTGGTTTTCCCCTCTGTTTCAGGGGAATGGAGAGTGGAATAATTCAGGCTTGTCTGCAGATTACTATTAAAGTACTCTCCTCACCCCACCTTCCCATAACAAAAATAGTCTACACCAAAGAAACAACTAGGCAAGACCATAATTTTAGAATAAATTATATTACAACAGCTGCTCCAGTAGGGGTTTTATTTTATTTTGATCCATTACAAACTTTGTTCAGTTGGTACAGCATTTCATTTTGATTTGGTGTACTATTTCCAGATGATTTTCAATGATTTGGCATTTTATCATCTAATCCTTCTCTTCTATCTTGAAAAAAACAGGGTCATTTTTTCCTTACAGATCACCAGAACTGTAAAGGCAAACATACTAACTCCCACCTCTCTCTTTCTCACTGCTTTTTGTGCCCCTCACTCAATGTTTCCTTCCCTGGTGTTTATTATAAAAAGCAACATGACTATGGGCAAAGATGCAGATATTCAGCTCTTGGAAAACCACACAGACATTTCCATCCCCATCATCGTTTTGGTCACAGACATTGTTACAGACATCACCACAAACATTGTCACAGACATGGACATCCATTCAGTCTTGAAGATGCTGAGCATAACGACAGTTTCAATGAAGAACATCATGACAACCATGAAGGACCTGCTCCTCCTTCTTCCCCCCCCCATGGTGGACCACATCACCACCTTCACCTTCCACATTATTGTCCTCCATCTCCCCATGACGGACCACATCCTCTTCCCCAGGAGGAATCACAACCACCCCCTTCTGCTCCTCCTCCCCATGATGTAACACATCACCCTACTCCATCCCAAGAACAATTATATAATCTCCCTTCTCTTCCTCCTCCCCATAATGAGCCACATAATGCTCCTCTTGGTCCCCATCATAGACCACACTGTCCCCTCCCTCCTCATGGACCACACCACCACCATTCTCTCCATCATGGACCACATTGTCCTTTTCCTCCTCATGAACTACATCACTACCACCCTCCTCCCCATCATGGACCACACCACCCATCTCATGGCTGTCATCACTATTACAGACACCACTGCAACAAGACAAGCATATCAGGAAAAGACTTTCCATTCCAAGTAACAGGAGCTGTCTATCGCAACCCAGTTCTCAATCAACAGGACCCTCTCACACCTCCCACTGCAAATTTTCCTGAGCTATTCCAAAGAAACTCGCACTCCTCCATCGATGGTGAAGGCGTTCTCTTCACTGGCTCAAATCTAAATGAGATGCTAGAAGCTCTGGGTTTTCCAGATCACTCTACACAATCAAAATCATGCCCAGGAAACCCCAAATTTCTTCTTCCAAAAATTTTGCCTATTTTGCCTCATTCAATTCTAACCAACAGAAAAATTCCCAAATAGTGAAAATTACCATCTAAAATCTTTCATTTTATTATAATTCAAAATTACAGTGTAATTTTCTGAGGAAATCTGATCACCTTCCACAAAAAATCATCCATGGCATTACACTCATGCTATCTAAGAGAGAATCTAAGAAAATAAAAATAAGTTTGTTTTTTTATTTGTTTGACAGTTGCCAAAGTTTTGTCCTTTTAGCTGCAATCCAGCAGTAATCCAGGAGGCATCCCCTAACATCAATTGACTAAGAGTGGTTTGATTACCACCATTACCTAGAAAAGGTCTGAGAATAGGCAATGACTTGCAGCATGGCCAGCACAGGTACTTCCACTGCTACACCTGCTGGTGGTGACACACCAGAAACGCTGCGTTCAAGGACAGCCCTTTTCAAATAGCTCATAATTGCTCCCAGGGGAGGAGAAAAGCAGATGCATATAAGAACTCTTTCACATAAATGTTTGCTTTTTCACTGAACCTTCCTCACTGGAAACTGAGTTGGTAGGAGCAGGAAGAAAGAATGTTGGTGTCTCTTCATACTTTAGTCCCCATCAAGACAAAGTCCATTCAGACAGACCTGACATCCCAATGAGGTAGTTCAGAACAGTTATCTCATATGCAAGAATGTAGGATTAATCTCAAAAATTTGGTCCTCAAAGTAGCTTTTTAAGGGCATATAGCAAAATACAGTGTGAGGGCTACACTAAAGAAAAAGAAATAAAATGGGGACTGCATTTTGTGTTACTGAGTGAAGGTTGCCTAATTTTTAGAAGTGCATTATTGTGTATGAACAACCTTATTTCTGGCATAGCTTATGTCTCTAAAGAGTATTTTCTTTAGCCAAAACCTATAACAAGAGACAACTGGAACACTAGAGCTGAGCCAATCCCAAGGTCTTCACAAATCCAAAGGAAAGCTATTTGGTGCTCAGCACTGAAGACAAGCATCAAAGATGGACACTTCCAACAGTTGTATGAAGCACATGGTTTATTAAGTGTTATTAAAGAGTTACGTGGCATTCAATGACACACATCTGTCCAATGACTTTTTTCTGACTTCCCAGAACTATTGCAGTCTGAACACTAAAGAGATCTACAAAATTTACAGGGTTGTTTTCCAAAACCAGAACTCCTTTGCCATTGTGACCTTCGTGAGTGTTTGATTTAAGCCTTCCAAAAGTTATTCTTAGGAGCAGTTCAGATGCTAAGAAGCCAGAAAGCTACATTGTGCTTTCCCGTTTGATCAGGCGCCATCCTCCTTACTTCAAACCTGTCCCCAGCTGCAGCCACTTAGCCTGTTATCTTGATGGCAGGTGGATAACCTTAGTGTCATTCTGGTGACCATACAAAGTTTATTTAGATAAACTCAAAAGTTTATTTGCAGTACAAACAGGGTATGATGAAAACCAACCAACCGCAGCAACCTACTCATTCTGTTTACTTAGCTATTGCGCCTGAAAAAAGGAAGAGGTGCCTAAAACCCTGCCTGGCATTCCTTTTCCATTTGGTTTTTAAAGAACCTTCTGAGTCAGGGGCCCTTTTTGGTCCAATTATGAAAATATCCATTGTACTAGCACTTTGCTGCAGTTTTTTCTCTAGCAGAGCCACCCCTCTCCCATTTGAGCTTTCAGACTGTAATGACCCTGATGTCTTTAAAGCTGTAGACACAGCATTGAAGAAATACAATGGAGACAGAGGAACCGGTAACCAGTTTGCTCTGTACATGGTGATGGAAGCCAAGAGAACTGTAAGTAGACTTTAGAAAAAAAAAAAATTAAAAATGTTGGAATTGTCTGTGCTATCTGAATCAGATTATCTTCATCTCATTCATAAGAGAGCAAGCATGACAGCAAAGTGTCTTCAAAAACGTTTTAAAAAATCAAAGGAATGACTTGCACAGTAAGATGCTCATTACCATGACAAGCAGGGATGTATATTATGTTCTCACCAACAGAACTGTGTGCTGCTGAATTGCTTATTAATGCAAGGACTAAAGAATATAAATTTTCTATCACTAATACAATCTGGTTTACTAGTCCACTCTATTTTCTCCTTTCTCTGTTGGGAATTCTACCCCTTTCCATCATCAGTAAGGTTTTCAGATCGATGGCAAAAAAACCTACTAAAAAACCTGAATATTATCTTGACTTGGGAAGCAATGGTATAGCATATAAAAAAGAATGACCTGATAAAATTTGGCAATACTCTGAATACATTGTTTGTGAATATTATTTGATTGACACTAATCCTGAGTCACAAATCTAGGTAAAAGCACTAGCTGGTATTTGAGTCAAATAGGGTGACAGCTAAAATTACAGAAGAAAAAAAGGATGAAACATGATCCTTTGCCTGGAATCCTTCTGTACAGCCTTAATCTAACAAAAGAGTATTTACCTCTGAGAGGCATACAAAGATGATATTACCATCATAATGACAAGCATTACTTTACTTGAAAACAACATTAGCATTTTTCTTCTACTGGATTGGATTTTCAGATGTAAAACACAAGAAACCCTGTGCCAGAGAGAATATTTTGCACTCCAAAATCACAAGACACTTTTACCCAGATAGGAACTGACCTCAGAAAGGGGACATGAATTGCTAAATGCCTTACAGTAAACTACCCACATCTCCTGGCACTACCCTCTGGTTTTCCTGTTTTCAAACTGGGGAGATCTTAGCATGTAGTGATGAAGTCTAAAATCTGGCAAACCCTTTATATAATTAATATTAAACAAATGAATAGTCCCACTGTCTTCACTGAACTACATACATCCTTATAAATAGCCAAATGCAAACATATTTCTGTCAGAGCTGTAACACCACCTTCCTTTTGCTGCTGTTGCTAAAGGACAGATATTAATTTCAGTATTCTACTTTAAACAACGTTATGTTTTAAAGAATACATATTTTAATCATTGCAATCATCCTTCCTTCTCTAAATATCCATCTTTCATTTTCTTAAAATATCTGAGGTGGAAATCAATTATTATTTTACGTAATTGATCTGACAATGATGCCACGTAAAAATAGAGAAAAGGAATCTGCAATAGAGATTTCCTTGTATTCGATATTCTTTTTCTAAAAAGAGTATAGATTTTACTCATCATTAGTCTCACAATGTTGAATGCATTAATTAAATAGCTAGTTATTACATATTAATGTACATTCATTATTGATAAGGCAAGAAAACATAAAAGCTGACTGGTGAAAGACTGAACCTGCCCCAGTTAAAGGCATAGTACTTTATAATAATACTAAAATAAACCAACAACAAATAACATACAGAAACAATAGGTTTTCTCACCTATTTTGTTTACTCATTGAGCTGATTTATTGCAGATTTAGAACACTGTAACAGAGAACAGAATGTGGCTCTTTTTATATTCACTTCCCAGATAGTATCATCAAATGCAGCTCCATAAATGTCAATTTACACCTGCTAAGGATTAAGTCCATTACATTTTTAGAGAACCTTTCATCCTGTTTTACAACCTGCCTCATATCAGGTACCTCTCTACACCTCTTTGTAGCTGTAGCAACACAGAACAGAAACAGAGAGACCAGAGAATGTAATTCTATGTCTACACTGGTGTAAATCTAGTATATTCCACCCATGTCAGCTCAGCTGCACATTTCTTTGTAACACTAAGGCAAGAAATATCAATTAATTCTCCCAGCAGCATCATTTGAGGATAACCAGTGTTGAAGTACAGCAACTGCCTGTTTGAATTTGAAAAGGCACATTGGCAGAGCATTTTAAGCCTCTGTAAAAGATAAGAAACTTCTGGCTTTATAGCTCCTCTAAAGGATGAACCATAAACTTTGCAGTGTGTAAACGCTACCTGTAGGCACAGGCTCACTACTCAGTTTATGGCAAGGAGAAAATGCCCCCAACATCAACAACACTTCCACTCGCCAGGCCAAACACTTTGCTAAATACTTTGTATTTCATCTAACAGGATTCCTAACACTCCCCTCGTGAGCAGCTCAGCCTTTAATGCCTACAGGAAAGCTGTAGGCACTGCCAAAGGCTGCCACCAGGGCATATGCCCTCCTCACCCCTCCCCCGAGTAGGCAGGGCAGCTGAAGTACCCTGTTACCATAGAGTAAAAGCAGTTTGGGCACTGCCAGGCTGCCTGAGGGTTGCTGGCTGCTGTTTCTGGGCTGCCTGAAGAATTGTACTGAAGGAAAGTAGACAGATCTGGGAGAAGGCCAAGAGTGAGGGAGTCACACAGGAGCACAGTCCAAGCTAGTAATTATGCTAACTATCTAAGCAGCAACACAACTTTGCTTATTTGAAACACATTTGAATATGAGTATGAAACCTAACCACTTCTTTGTATTTTAATAACCCCTGGTACTACAAGTTGAAAAAAAAAAAGCCAGTTGAGCATAATTTATCTGTTGTATTTGTCAGTAAGGGTTCAGTAATATAATTAGGTAAGTTAATTATTGAACAACCAAAATTTGAGAGACTTTGCAGGGAGACCAGCAGCTAATTTGAAATTATACTATAACATATAAGGCAACCACTGAATAGTATTTGCCTTTTGAAGCTCTTATCTTTTCATTTCATTTATCACTATGCAAATGATGCACATTGTTTTTATCCAGGCAGGTCCTGACGCACAATTCTATGTGAAGTATCGAATACATGAAACCACTTGTGCCACTGATGAAAACAAACTCTGGCAAGACTGTGATTACAAAGCAGCTGCAGAGGCTGTAAGTATCTGGCAACATCAGCATAATAACCATGACTGCAGTAGAGAACCTACCTTTTTTAGCTGTATTGCTTTTGAGAACTTACAGGACTAAATTACAGTTCAGAAATGTTTATAACTCTAAAATTAACCATTGTAATGGTGAGTTTACCATTATAATCCTAAATTTGTCCAGAAGAGAGCATTTCAGCACTTCAATATGAAGCTTCACAATACATTCAACACAAAGTATGTGCACTGTGAGAGTGTGAGGGCCGTAAAACTTTCTGTTAATTATGCATAATGGAAACGCGCACAATCAAATTGACTTCAGATCTGCACCAACAAAAATCCTGACCTGGAAGCCACGATGGCAAAAAATGCACCAGAGGGCTTTCAGCTGTGCAAAGCATGTCTGGCTCATGGTAGGTACTAAAGCACCCAGAGGAGGAATGATTTGGGCACACATAGCCTGCAGGAACACTGCACATAGCCAGTGGAAGTCACTGCTACTTCACACAGAGCACAATGCAAAGAAAGGAATGATGGTGATAATATAATTCGAATCAATGTGAAATGCCATGGTCATTGCTGCATATCTTGTACTAGCAGAGAAGAAACTAGATAAATAAACAATTTATACAGACTTTATTTATGCAAATGTGTTCATTTCCATTAATCTGACTGTAAATTCTTTGATTAATTAATATGTAATCATGATACAAAGCAACTTTTCAAATTATATGCTCAGTTCATCCCCTACTCTCGTGACAATCGACAGAACTGTTCCTTCTCCAGTAACAAACCAGCAAATTAGACATTACTAAAAATGTACATATGAACTTGCTCCCCAAACTCAATTTGCAACTGTTAACTTTGTTCAGTAGCTAGAAGAATATATACAGCACTGTGTTTTGTTTCAGGAAGTTTAAGACAAATGTCGTTACATGTTTTTGCAGACAAGAGGAGAATGCACAGCTCGAGTTCACATGAATGATGCTGAAAATACAAGTAACGTTTCCCAGAACTGCAGTATGGTTCCAGGTATGTAACTCTTCGGGGCTGCATTCAACAAGTACATTGACAAATAAGAATGGGAAAAATAGAATACTGAGACTTTCAGCAAGCAAAAAAAAAGCATAGCAAAAAAAAAATAATATATATTTTTTAAATTGTACCTAAATTTTCTCCAAACTAAACATTACTAAATTGTTTCTCTTAAAGTTTACCAAAGCAAATTTTTACCCCCAACCAAAAAAAGAAGAAAAATACATTTACAAAATAAAAATCTAGCAGTGATGAAATAATGTAAGAGATACTGTGATATCTTTCAGACCCTAACAATAAGCAGTGCTGTATTTCTTGCCTATAAGACAGTAATATATGACTATTATGTTCTCATATTCATTTTATTAGAGAGATCACATTGTTTTAAAGCTTTGCCACTGAGATGTCTCTGTGCCTATGTCTAGAGTCCATGTAAGACATATCCAAGTTAATTTTAAAATATCCACCTGATAGCAGGGAACTAACTGAATATTAACTACAGAAATATTTGGCATGGTTTCTGAGATGTTTGGTAGCTTATCTTTGTTTTTGTTCCTGCTTACCTTGTTTAAAGCTTACATGGCTATACCTACAGCCAGTGTGCTTCTAGGAACTACAGTAAACACAAACTCCATGTTCTGCTGCTGAATAAACACGGCTTGGTTTAGGTGCTTTTCTAGGGCAATGGTGACATCTAGTTGCCAGTAAAAGACATGTGAATCCCACAGAGAATGCATGGGAAATTTGCACTTGAATCTTTGCTTAGAAAGGTTAAAAAACATACATAAATTAAATGAATCATGTACTGAGCCTAAGAAGCTCACCTCTTCTTACCAAATCATACCAACTCGAAAAAAAGAAAATGCAGAGACCATAGCTGGTTTAGAACTGGTGTACTGTTGGTTTATTACTCCCTGAAAACATGGTCACACTTTTGTAACATATATATTTGTCATTACTGAGTCCAATTCAGTGATGCTAGAAACATGAAGAGCCAGACTTTGTTCGAGTACCCCTTGGAGAGCTGAAACAAAATAGTATTGCTTACACTGAGATATTCCAAATGTACAGAGGAGCCAAATCAAATCCAAAGGATTCAAACAGAAGAGTGAAACAATAGACCCCAACTGGTGAGGGATTTCCCTACCATGTTAGGTACCATACTGTTCAGCCTTCTGGGTGGAACAGGTTGATCATACTGACTCTGGACCAGTTTCCTGGCTGGTGCAAGCTGGCATAACTCCATTACAGCCAGTTTATGCCAGCTGAGGATCAGGCACACAAATTTTACTTCAATTCCACAGAGACCACATATTGTCCCACTTTCATTCTCAAGCTCACTGAATCATGAAATTAATTTATGTACTGAACTATAAAATTAATTTATGAAAATCCAATCCATGATTACTAGAAAGGAAAGAGAGTTAATAGGATTAGTAGTAAGAAACAGAAGTTTGAGCATCCCTGTCAAGCTTGTCTATACACAGCCAATCCAGTTGGGTAAGCCTGAAGGTAATACCAAGTGGCCACAGTGACTAGCAGGGGGGTTTCAAACAACACAGCAATACAATAGTTCAACTACAATCCCTAAGGAGCTCAGAGTCAGAGCAGCTCACATGGGTGAGCCAAAACACTCCTGCCAAAGTCCCCATCCTGAAACATGGTGAGTACAGTAAGCAGCTGTGCACAGTGGGTGAGCTCTGAAGAGTATCCCCTTAGATGTAGCTACCACTAGTTCTTCACTGAGTGAGAAATGACCCTTTCTTAATGGAGTCAAAACCACATGCAAGATTTTTCAGAGATTCATTGACTCCTGAACTCACTCACTCTTCTAAATGAGGGTCACTGCTGAAATCATGCCTGGCCTACCACCACAAAACAAAGCATGTTTCTAAATACAATAAATGTCTTTGCAGGCCCTGAAAATGAAATGTGGGGATTACTGATCACTCCAGTTAAAGCATAAAATATTCTTGCTCATTAAACCTTTTCTCTAATTCTCAGTTTGGAAAAATTAAAACCTGAGGCTGTTTTACATGAAGCCCTATAATTTTTTTTGTTTATTTTCCAGCTGCACAAAAAGTATCACTTACTGAGGCTAGATGTCTTGGATGCTTTCATCATATATCAAGTGACAGTTCAAAAGTCTCAGAAATTCTGAAACGAGCCATTCAGAAGTTTAATGAGCACAGTGCTGAACCTGCCATTTTTAAGCTTGTGGAAGTAAAAGAAGCTCAAAGACAGGTTTGTGTAGGACTTTTCTGTAACTTCTATCCCCAAAAACCCCAAACCAGGTACCTTAGGTGTTCTACATACACATTTCTGATTTTAAGGTATCTTACATTTCATAATAAAAGCATAACAAATGCATATTGAGTGTAGACTCTATAAATAATTATCTTCATTTGTAAGGAATCACAAATGGTCACCTACCAGATTTTCAGAGATGTCAGCTTTACATACTGATAGTAAACATGGTTTTCCTTTATATGCAGTTGCATCTAACCAGATAGCACCACTTTATTTGCATTCAGTGCTGACACAAGCATCTTGAGTCATCTTGGATGCTCTTGGGTATTCCACTTGGCTTCTCCCTCAAGCTCCAGCAGGAGCAGATCACTCCTATATTCTGTGCCAAGACTGCCAGCCTGCACAGATGTCTCATATACTCTACAGCCTCTCAAACAGCAGCAGGCATCTATGTTTTTGCACTGCAATAGGACCCGTATGTCAGCAGCTGCTACACGAAACAGGATGGGTAAATTCCGTACAGGAAGAATGGGTAAGAAAAACAAAAAGCCAGCCTGCCACTTGCTGAAAGATTTCTGCACACAGGAATATCTGCTTTGCAAGAAATGACTGCTCAGGTCACAGAAATTCCATGTCATCTGGTATTCCATTCTCTGTGAAAGGTTCTCCTAGGGATTGGTGTGACATTGCTAGAAAGTTTCTTATTTAGTTTTTAACTAGTATCTAACCTGACACAAATATAGACCCTTTTCTTTGAATGTTTATGTATTTATTTAGCCAGAAAGTATCTTCTAGCATCATGTCAATTTGTCTCATTATTTAACTAAGACTGTCCTCCTTCTATTGACCGATGGCAACAAACCACTTAGCTGAAAGACAAGCCTGGACAACATTTATGCCACATGACAAAATGTCACAGGCAGACTGGAATCCAGCAGCTGGAAAGAGAACCATCGTGTCACTTTCAGTCAAAAGACTAGTAAGAGCCCTTGACTTTAATTGATCTGTGATAAAAAGTGCCCGTATTTGATTCTTACGTTCACTTTTAAATCCAATGCTGCCTGACCCAACACTGTGACATGGAGTGATTCCTTGGGTGAGAAGCAGAAGCCACAGTGCGGAAAACTGAACTGCTTCCTGGCAAGACAATGAAAAAAGGGTCACAAATCTGGATGAAAGAGTGGGTGGCAGAAGGTAAAGCCCAAGGCAGACACAATTCTAGGTAGATGATAAATGCAAGACACTCAATAATAAACGATGCCAGCAGTATAAAGTTCCATTATTCAGATACTGTTTTACTATGCTCCACATTCAGGAACATAGGACTTGCCAAGGTGTGTTAGAGTAGTCATCTATCTAGACCAGCTTCCTGACACTGGGAATAATAAGTAACAGATACTTTGGAGGCAAGTGAAAGAAATCAAGCATTATGAGCCTGCAGGTTTGCCAGGAGAAGTGGAATCCAAGATATTTTTTTGCTGTCCATGAATACTATATGGCTCAATGACTGCAAAGTGAATTGATGGATGGAAGACACTAGAAGAGTAGCTTTGCTTTCTTTGCTAATCATATTTAATAGTTTAACTTCCAAGTTTATAATGGTTTACATAATATATTTCCTAAATATCTGTTCCAGGTGGTAGCTGGATGGAATTACATAATTAAATATGAAATCAAGGAGACTAATTGCTCCAAAGACCAATCCCCAGATTTAACTCCAGAGTGTAAAGCCACTTCTAGAGGTGTAAGTAATCTTCAAAATCTGTTTATAAAAACAATAATATTAACAAATAATTGAGATTGGAATCAAGAAAATATTATAGTGTTGTTTTACTTTGTGAATGAAGTTTAAATCCAAGCTTATAGATATGTGTGAATTTATGCCATTAGAAAATCCATGTCTTCTCAATCAAAGACTGAGATGACCACTGAAATGTTTACAGATTACTCTATAGAATTTAAATAGTCTCACCCAAATAATAAATTCTTGAGAAGTTCCTATCCAGATATTCAAGGAGTTAACTCAGGTACAACCTAAAAAGCAATAATTAACATTAGCACAGTTGCTGTTGATTTTTTTAAGACATATTTTCTAAGAAAATTAAGTAGCTGAATTATGACTTAGCCTTTACCTCAGTTCAGATAAGAGAGCTTCAATTATTAACACACATAGTCTACCCAAAGAGTGCTGCAAAACCAGGGACTTCCTTAGCATCTCTGACATGGAACAGAATTAACTGTATCAAAAATAGAGGCTTGGTCTTCCAACTAGCTTCCTTGAACTATCTCTGCAAACACAAGGTAGGGGGCAGGAAACTGTAATCATAATCAACAGTGGTGGTAAATGGGAGGGGAAGAACTACAGGAGCTGCGACTCACATCTGGTTTAGCTGTTGTGGAAGTCCACTGTTCAGTGTGACATTCAAAAGCCTCTCCTGTTTGAAAATTACTCTTTGGATGTCTCAAGAACACTTCAGAAGCATTGATTGAAAAAGGAAAGAATGGCAATACTGTGGTAAATAATAGAAGAATGAAAACCAGACTTGCTGAAGCAAATCTCTCCATTACCTACACTTGCCTTTAAACCTTAAGCTCATTCACACACTGCAGGGTTTGTGGGACTGGATCCTTATAATTTCCCTGAACTGTTAAGTAGCCTTTTTAATAGATCATTGACAGATAACACTAGAATATCATATTCCAAGAATAGTCCATACCTTGGAATGATCAAATTTCATGGAAGTTGTTTCATATCTTTATTCAGCTTTGGATGATTCATTCTGAAATGGGAAGACCAGAACTGCATTCTTTATTCAACAAGCTTGTGAACCACAGAGCCACAGCGGGGCATAATATCATTCTCTCTAACCTAGATAATAAGCCTTGACATTATATTTTTATTTTCTTCTAAACCACTATTAAACAGATTTTTTTATGGATGACATTTTCAAGTATCTGTCATAGGCCTATGATCTCAATCTTGAATTGTAAGTCTTCCTTTTTATTCTACAGTTGCTTAGTTTCCTTTAGAGTCTTTGATAAGGCCCTTCACTGAAACCTTTTAAAAGATCTATGTTTACTTTATCAATACTTTACCTGCTTTTGTTGATGCTTTTGAAGAACTTTGAAAAATCTGCAAAATATTACTTCTGTTTGCAACAAAAACTCTGGTCTCTCCTTGATGTATTCCTTCCACTTGCTTCTTTCCTTAGTACCATTTCTAGTCACTTGAATGCTACAAACATCAGTTTTATGAGTCTATAAACTTTTTAAAACAAAACAGGATCAACATCTGCTTTCTTCCAGCCCCAAGATTTCAAGACAATTTTAAGTAAGCAATCTACAACAGTTCCTTTAAAACACCTGAGTAAATATAAGAAACTCAGTAAAGTTTAATTTGTTAATTGCATAATCTTCTCTCTGGTCTTTACAGTTTGAGACAGAAATTCCAGTGAGTTCTCCATAAAACAGGATTCTGGCTTGTAAACCTCCTCATTTCCTTCTCTAATAAACACATGCAAATAGTTAATTTAGCTTCTCTTTTATGGTTTTACTTTCTTTGAGTGGTCCTTTTGAACCCTGATCATTTATTGGGTCTGCAGACTGTCTATCAGGCTTCTTGCTTCCAGTATATTGCAGAAAGGAAGGAATTATTAGCAGTATGCTTGACTTCA